ATGACCTTGGTATTATCATCATCTCACTCTGACCAGCTGAGCGAACTGGCCACGCAGAAAGTTGAGTTTCCATGGTCTTTAGAAAACTTACAGGATCTTAACAGAAAAGTGCTAATTTTCTAATGTTTTTCAAAATCTGTGTGCATAGTTTTTTTTTCCAGCCTTTGCACATTTTGTTGTTTCAATTTTATTCTCCAGCCTTTTTAAAAAATACTTTTAAGTGTTGATTTCCTTAACACTTTATATTTGCTTTGGCCAGTATGGGGATTGAACCCATGACCTTGGTATTATCATCATCTCACTCTGACCAGCTGAGCGAACTGGCCACGCAGAAAGTTGAGTTTCCATGGTCTTTAGAAAACTTACAGGATCTTAACAGAAAAGTGCTAATTTTCTAATGTTTTTCAAAATCTGTGTGCATAGTTTTTTTTCCAGCCTTTGTACATTTTGTAGTTTCAATTTTATTCTCCAGCCTTTTTTTAAAAAAAAAAGGCTTTTAAGTGTTGACTTCCTTAACACTTTATATTTGCTTTGGCCAGTATGGGGATTGAACCCATGACCTTGGCGTTATTAGCACCACGCTCTGACCAGCTGAGCTAACCAGCCATTCATGTTGTTGAGTTTTCATTGATTTCCTAAAAACTTAGATGATCTTGACAAATTCTAATGTTCAAAATGAATATGCATAAAAGTGTATTTTCCCACCTTATTTTATTTTGAAGTGTTGATTTTATTTAGAGGTGTTTATTGTATTTCACAGCCATTTTTATTTTGAAGTTTGTATTTTATTTTTCACCCTTTTATTATTCAGATTTGTTTTTTTTTCACACTTTTGCTATTTAAAGGTGTTTATTTTATGTTTCAACTTTGTTCAATCTCAGTGAATAAGGTATTATTTATGCATTAAATAATACTTAAAGTGTCTTGGTTGCATCATTGTTCACCACTTTCAACTCTGAATTCTGCAAGTCTGTTAATTTGTCTCCATCTTGTGGGGATGGATGATATTACATGAATTTGTCCAACCAAATTTGGTTTGGCAGAAATATTTGCTGACTATTTCATTATCACTGAAAATGATAATCCAACTTGAAATTTAAAATGAATTAAACTAATTTCAATACGATTTAGGCCTAAACATGATTGCTCAATAAATATTGTTTTTTTCATTTTCTGCTATTGTTGCTGTTAAATCACAACACTGCACAAAAATAAGTCTCATAAAGCAGATTTTTAATGTGTTTTGGTGTGTTTATGTGTGTGCAGGTGGGAAGTATGTACCCAGAGCCATCCTGGTGGATCTGGAACCGGGTACCATGGACTCGGTCCGATCAGGACCATTTGGCCAAATCTTCAGACCTGACAATTTTGTCTTTGGTAATTAATTAGTGGAACGGTTGTTGATCAGAATGTTAGTTTTAATTTTCTTTCATTCCATAGCTTTTCTTATAATATCGTAATAATTTGTTTTTAGGTCAGAGTGGAGCTGGGAACAACTGGGCCAAAGGTCACTACACGGAGGGCGCGGAGCTGGTGGACTCGGTCCTGGACGTGGTCCGGAAGGAGGCGGAGAGCTGTGAGTGCCTGCAGGGCTTCCAGCTCACACACTCCCTGGGAGGAGGCACCGGCTCCGGCATGGGGACCCTGCTGATCAGCAAGATCAGGGAGGAATACCCCGACCGCATCATGAACACCTTCAGTGTGGTTCCCTCCCCTAAGGTAACACACAGCGCTCTCCTAGCAGCTGCAGCAATCAGATCTTCTTATATTTTATCACATGAAACTCTCTGCCTCCTTCCTGATTTTGTCATTATTCATGTTCCGTCAGTACTTCGTCATATAAAATCAATATGTGTATGCTCAGTATACTTCCTCGCTGTTATTTATCTCTGATGGTTTAAAGCAAGAATCATCTGTTGAATTAATCGTCTCATTATTTCTTATCCTGTCAGTTTATTCTCTATTTGTTGATTATAACATCGATTGAAGTGAGGACACATTTATTATATAAACGTCTGGACATTTTTTTCACATACACTGATGGAATTAAGTTTTTTCATTCTGAGGATATACTTAATATTTTAAAGGTTAACATGATGTCAAGGAAAAGTCCTGATGGATTACAGAACTTTCTGCATCTTTGAGCTGCTTAAATCAGACAACAGCAGAAAAAAAATACCCTCAAATTTCCTTTCTGCCTTTAAAAAACACTTTGATGTGTTGTACACTGCAAAAACACAAAGTCTTACCTAATATTTTAGTCTAGTTTCTAGTGAAAATATCTTTTACTTTATTTCAAGTACACTTGAAATAAAACAAAACTTATAAGTATTTTTTCATCAAGATATAAGAGTTTTAGGTCAATAATTCCTTGATATTTAGGAAAAAGTTGTAGTTCCATTGACAGATTTTTTTCAGGTGTTAAAAGACATTTTTTCCATGAAAAATAAGTGAAAATTGCAAAAAAAAAAAAAAATGCATATTTTTCCCTTTCGTAAGTAAAAAGGGAATAAAGTCTGACTCTGAGGAAACTAACAGGGGAAGTGTAATTATAGAGTAATTGGTTGTCATGGCGCCCCTGTCTCTGTCTCAGGTGTCTGACACGGTGGTGGAGCCGTACAACGCCACCCTGTCCGTCCACCAGCTGGTGGAAAACACTGACGAGACGTACTGCATCGACAACGAAGCTCTGTACGACATCTGCTTCCGCACGCTGAAGCTGACCACGCCCACCTACGGAGACCTGAACCACCTGGTGTCGGCCACCATGAGCGGCGTCACCACCTGCCTGCGCTTCCCCGGCCAGCTCAACGCCGACCTCCGGAAGCTGGCCGTCAACATGGTGCCCTTCCCCCGCCTGCACTTCTTCATGCCGGGCTTCGCCCCGCTGACGAGCCGCGGCAGCCAGCAGTACCGCGCCCTCACCGTGCCCGAGCTCACCCAGCAGGTGTTCGACGCCAAGAACATGATGGCGGCGTGCGACCCGCGCCACGGCCGCTACCTGACGGTGGCCGCCGTCTTCCGCGGCCGCATGTCCATGAAAGAGGTGGACGAGCAGATGCTGAACGTGCAGAACAAGAACAGCAGCTACTTCGTGGAGTGGATCCCCAACAACGTGAAGACGGCCGTCTGCGACATCCCGCCGCGCGGCCTCAAGATGGCCGTCACCTTCATCGGCAACAGCACGGCCATCCAGGAGCTGTTCAAGCGCATCTCGGAGCAGTTCACCGCCATGTTCCGCCGCAAGGCCTTCCTGCACTGGTACACGGGCGAAGGAATGGACGAGATGGAGTTCACCGAGGCCGAGAGCAACATGAACGACCTGGTGTCCGAGTACCAGCAGTACCAGGACGCCACGGCCGAGGAGGAGGGCGAGTTCGAGGAGGAGGCCGAGGAGGACGCCTGACGGAAAAACGCAGGGAGGAGATTAAAGGAAAGGTTGATAATGAAAGATATGTTCAAAAAAGAGAAGGAATAAAGCAGGTCGGAGGAGGTCAGAGGTCAACGGAAGAGGATTAGGGTCACTGGGGAAAACAAAACAGGAATTCTGACTCTGATCTCTTACATTTTATTCTCAAAAATCTGACTTTTTTTCCACATAAATCTTACTTTCTTTGTTTCTCTGAATTCTGACTTAAATTCTTAAGAAAATAAATTCTAATTTTTTTTCTCAGAAATCTCAGAAATTAATTTTTTTGAGACCAAAAGTCGTTGTTTTTTTTCTCAGTGGTCTTAATCCTCTTCTGTAAAGGTCTGAATTGGTGGATGGGCCAAAATTAGGAGAATCGTGCCAACTCGACCGTTTTCATATTTCCAATCCAGTTCGATCAGATCACAGAAACCAAACTGTTATAAACTAAAACACACAAATCTGAAACTCTCCAGTTTCATCATGTCACATTTAAGATGAAGATAAAAAAATATATGACAAATTCAGAAATCCATCTGATCTAATGGAAGAAAAACATGTCTGCCTGATTTATCATTAATCATGTTACTTTGTCTAGCATACAGTTTTATCATTCAGTCGTTATTGTAAAAGTTTGAAGGATTTTCTCCACTTCTAAAATCATGAATGTTGTGAATTGTCCCCCTGAAGTTAACTGAATCCCAGCAGGAGAAACTTTTCTCTTTCAGGACTCATTGGCTTCAGAGTGGAACCATAAAGGCTTGATAAACTTAAAGGATTTCTGTTAGACGTCCTTATCTGCGGTTCTGATTGTATCGGGTCAAAAAGGTCTTCAGCCTTAAAATGAGCCTCAGAGATAAGAAGCGCAGCTCTTATCAACGTTCTGACATTCTTATCACGTTTGCAGATTCAGCTCGTTTGGGTTTAGAAGTTCAACATGATCAGAATTCAAAGAGGAAGTCGTTCTTTCTATTGATCAGATCGTCACAGTTGGTTCTGGTTTTGTGAAAGATAAAAAGTTCTGTTAACATCTCTGAACATCAGATACTGTTTTTATTCAGTTATTTCTGTACTGTTTACTCTGAGCCACTACAGTATTAATTTAGATCATTGCTTATGTTCAGTATTAAAAACCAACCATGTTTATTTCTGTCTTTGTTCTTTCCCCCCCAAATTCCTTTGGATCTGATTTGAGATCTTTACTGTGAAATATTTGGGAGAAATAAAAATGCATTTGTTGGGAAAAAACTTCCTGTACTGTCATGATGATCAAACTTCTTAATAATGATTATAAACTTTATTTAAAAAGGGGCTTTGCAGCATTTGAAGCTCTGTCCTTGTTTATTACATCAGCTAATTTGCATCTGTAGTCCCTTGACAGGTTACAAAAATAGATATACAATAATAGATTAAAACAGAAAATATAACGCTATAGGTTACCTTCCAGTTGCACTACACAGACAAGTGAAGACTCATACAGTTAATAATTACGTATCTGATCAGTGTTAACAGATGATTCAAGTTGAATTTTCTCAGAGTTTAAGTGTTTATGAAACCTATCAGAAAACTCTTTAGAGCAACAGCCAGATTTATTTTAAACAATTGAGAATAAAAGGTTCATTTTTCAAAGAATCTCTAAGTTGAAGCTACTTTGGGGGCATATTGTTTTTCAACCTAAAACACAAAATGATGCAGTTGTGATTTTTTTAACCTGCTCTGATAAATTAAACATGCAATATTTTAATGAAACAAAGGTTGAAGTTTTCCAAACTTCCAGGGCAAATTTTCAGTTTATTTGGTTTAGAAATTGTTCTAATTTAATCTGATAAACAAAATGAAACTTTTCTTTAAAAAAAATCTACTAACCAAATTTAATATCATTATTCTGCGCTAGTCCAGTCCTTTATGAGTAAAATGTAAATGGATGTTTGTAGTCATACTTACTATGAAATTAAAATAATAACAGTACTTTATGCTTAGCACGCTTAAAATAGAATGACAATTCTCATGCTAAAAAAGACAAAAGTGCAAACTGGAGAGCCACATTTGTGTTATTTTTGAACTGCATATAAAATTGTTCCAAGGATGACAAATGGACATCTCTGAATTAGAAAGGCCTTGTCAGTTCTGACTGATCAGCTTCAAATGGAAAATCTGGGGGAAAAAAATCCTTGAGCCTTGTTTATTTTATGGGAATTATTTGGAGGGGAAATCTGTTTTCTCCATTTAGTTTCTGTAATTCATTGTATTTTGCTGCCAACAAGATGCATTTCTGCACATCCAGCTGAATAAACAACTATTAGAAAGATTTACTGCGCTGAGGCGGAGCTGGTCACTGTTGGAGTTAATGAGATCTTAGAAAAAACAGAAGACTGAATCAGTCCTGCGTGGTGGTGAACGTTCATCCAAATAGTTCTAAATAAGAGGGTCAAAGGGCACTGAACCAGCTGTGACGTCAGAGCAGGTTTCCCTCCCTCTTCTGGGTCGGAACCCGGACAGTCAGTCTGCAGAAACCTGGATGGTGAACCGCAGAGCTTCTTCTTCATCTTATAGCTCCGACGATTCTGTCCGAACTTTCCCGACCGCGCCCGAGCTCGCAGCCCCCACACGCCCGACATCTACCGAAATCTTCGTCTTCATCCCGATCTTCCGCTCGGTTGAAGTGAGCTGTGTTCGGGTTGGGGGAGGTGGGGTGGACGACATTCATGAAATAAAGAAAAAAAAGGGTTTTCCATCATTCCTGAGCCCCTCCCAGCCCTCTGATCACCGGACCGAGGCTTTTATAAAGGTAATTACCATCATCTGTTTATGAATTCATATTCCAGCAGTAGATTTAGTCTCCAACAGGGAGGCGGTGGGTTAAATTCTGCAGCTTTTCTTGGCTGCTTTTGGAGTATTTGCTTGTGTTTAGCGGTGCCATATGGGGGATTCAGGGCGTGTAAACCAGCAGCAGCAACATTTCTGGGAATCTTCTCATAAGAAAAGATCACTTCATTCATGCGGAACTTTACATTTATATAGAAATAGACATAAATAAATAAATAAAATTGATACAGAAACCCAAGCAACGCTCACACAAAACCTCGTTAATTTCATTTAATTAGACAATTTTTCAGTTAAACTCATTTTAAATCTTCCATTTGGTTTTAAAGTGGTATAAATCCGTGTTTTTTCTCCACGTTTAGATGTTTCACGCATGTTTCCGGAGCTGCGGTGGGTTGCCATGTATGTTCGGGGTTTACCCATGCACCCTCCATGGGGGGTTTCTGGTCCACCCTGCTGGAAGCGGTTACGCAATGCACTACGGCACTCATTAAATCTGCTGACTAAGTTGCTTATTTGTCACGTCGAACCGTCATTTAGAGCTGAATGTGAGCGAAGATGGATGACTGACAGGTTTTACAACACCTCAGAGAGAAATAATGAACTAAAATGCGTGTTTTTGTTCGCAAATTGGGTAGAAATTACAGACCTTATTGATTCTATTGTGTGTAATCTGTTCTGGATGCTCTTGTTTTGGCTGATCTATGAAGCTGGATGTGCAAACCTTCAGCCAGCATGTGTCTCTTAGAAACTGAAAATCCGAGTAGGAGGCGGAGGTGGAGGAGAGAGAGCACGCTTCACCCCTGAACATTAAAATATGCAACCTTGCATTCTTCATTCATCCTCTCTTCCGCTCCCATTTCCTCCATCTTCCATCTCCAGTCCAGATGCTGGTCACGACACACCCTGAGCTGCAGCCGCCGCCGCTGCTGCTGGATCTGGATCTGTGCTTTACACTGAGAGCATGGGGATGAAGGAAAAACATGGAAATAGGGAACAATTGGCTGAAAAGTATTCAAATCCCTTGAACTTTTTCCACGTTTTGTTTCGTAAATTCACAAAATTGTGTTTATATTTAGTAAGAGAGAAAAATGCAAAGTAGGTCATAATTGTGAAGTTCAAGGAATGTGACGTTTGCTTCTATTTTTATTTTCAAAAATACAAAAAAATAAATAAAATTTTTAGCTCCACCTCAATCTACTACATTTATTTAATTGCCTTTCATATATATTTATTTTACCATCATAAACTGTAATTTTGTTGCTCTTACTTCTTTGGAACATAGGTCAAACCGATCAGATAGACAGTGAGACCAGTTTTTAATTCAGTTCAGGCCATGGATTCTCATTTGGACTTTGACTAGGACGTTCTAAAAGGTGACTATGTTTTGATCTCCAGCTGTATGTTTATGTCCTGTTGGAAGGTGAAGATCTCCTCCAGGATTGTCCATCTTTTCCTGTCCCTGCAAAAAAATAAAAATGGCAGGAACATTTGGCTTTCTGGAAATTTCTGGACTCTACTAAATCTTTGGGTAATGTCTGAAAGCAAATGGTTTTATTTAGATGCATCAGACTAAAAGAAGCTGAAGTTGATATGTAAAAAAAAGAAGAAAGTCTACCTTTCTTTGCTCCAGTATCACATAACATCCCAATAAAATCAATGATAAATTATGTATCTTTTTTAAGAAAATGAGGACATTTTTTCAGAGTCAACACATCCTCGCCTTTTTCATTGAAAACCGGACAAAGAAATGAATCAGAGAACCACTTCCTGACCCTCCTTGATGCTTTTGGAACAACAGCTAATAATTCTGCAAGACTGAAGCCAATCAGATTAGCTGCAACGATAGAAAGTGCTTAGTGTTAGGATAAAGCATGCCGGAGCGTGAGTGGCTGTAGAGGATATTTAATATTAGTGGAGCTTATCTGCGAACCCAGAAACATCACACAGAGTGTCCTCTGAAGGACTCAGGAGGATAATTAACCCCAAAGGAGGGATTTAGGAGAATAAAGCTCGGTTTGAGCAGCAAGATAAGGAATAAAGACAGAGAGGAGCAGAGAGCTGACGCTGAAACGGGAGGCGGAGGAGAGGCACTTGAACGCATCGTCCAGGAAGGACTGATGAGATCAGACAGAGAGATGTGACCTCAGCGGCTCTTTGGACCAGGAGGCCGCTGCCTGTCACACACACCTCTGATCAGGTCATGTAGTGACACACACTGCAAACTGTGACGTTGTATTTAATGGAAAAAGATGAGTGAATATAACTCAACTTTAGTCAAGGCTTCGCTAGTAATCAATTAAACTAAGCCCTGTGTATTTTTGGGTGCAAAGTGAATTACAGTGTTCACTTTAATAGAATAAATTATGTAAAATTGACTTTACATCATGTTATAATTTTATTCTCTCATGAAAATCATACCAGCAATGTTGCCTTCATTCTTTCATGCATGTTTGAGGAATCATTGAATCTCCATGGCAACCATACAGCTGTACAAAATGCCTGGGTGGACCGAGCGCAGCCACTCAACTCCTTCAGACTAGCCAGCAGCAATTAGCAAACACCTGGCAGAACTTAGAATATGCTGAGCTTGTTATAGGAGCTACTTCTCAGAGCAAAGCTGGTAAAAACGTTGTTAAAGGGTCAATAGAGGATCGGTGTGGTTATGACTTCCTGAAGGCGGAGTTTCAAAACGAGCAGGAGTTTCTTAAAGAGACAGAAGCCCAATTTCAAGGCGTTAAATATCAAAGTCACATTCCATTTTACTCATATTTGTTATATACAGAATTTTTTTATAACAGAATTTAATATAGTTACTTGATTGTGCTAAAATTAAAGGGGCACTATGCTACCCCTTTATTTTATTTTATTTTTTTTAATATTTGCACTAAATTCTTGATTTAAGTTGAGGGTCTGTGGAGACATTTTAAAAACGAAGTTCATTTGAGCTAGCGTGAAAGGGTATGTGACCTGGGGATTGGCTAGCAAGGTATCCCACAATGCACTGTGCCACCACCAGCAGCAGCAGCTGCAACAAATTAAACCACTTTTTTATTTGTCAGAAAAATTAGTTTTAAGGTGAAAATGTAGACTCCACAGCTGCTTCTATGCAGTCAGTTCATCAAGAATGAGCCTCTTTCACAGCTCTTATTAGCTATTTTTTACATTTATATCTGGATACATGAAACTGCATCATGAGTCAGTTGTATATTCATTTTCATTTTATTTTTCTGAAATAAAGTGAGCAAATTTTCACTGCTTTGTATATTATCTGATAAAGTTTGAGTGAAGAATAAAATAAAAAGCAGGAGCTGGGAAATGTTTCAATCAAGTAATTTTCTTTTTATATATTCAAGTTAAAATATGTTTTTTCAGAAAGCTTTGGGTTAATTTAAATATACAAAATGATTATGAGTTACAACATACACAGATTTATTGAAAATTGCACAAATGAATTCTACTTAAGCAGCTAATTTAATGAAAATGAAAACATTCTGAGGCAATGAGTTTGCATATATTTGTTAAGTAAAGGGAACTAATGAGGTTTTGCAGAGCAGCAGGATGACAGGAGAACAATGGCCGTGTTTAGACTCTGGGTTTCAGACGGAAATCAAACCTGCGGCTGAAGGAAGGCAGGTTAAAGCGTCCAGGAGCTTCGGTGGAAAGTGCTGCTCATCTGGCTGTAATTAAATCACAACCACTTGAACACACATCCATCTTTATTTTCCTGCATGCTGCCTTGTGCGGCCGCTCGCTGTGCCTCTTCCAGCTTTGTTTAAACCTCCTCTCTGACTTCCACTCAATACATGTCCAATTTGTACGTCTTTTCTTGCACATTTCCATAATCAGCGCTGACTTCTCATTTCCCCCTCAGACATACAGTTTTCTTTGTTAGAGATGTCAAACTTTTGATTCACATCCTTTCAAGCTCCCCAGCATGAATGCTCTTACAGGCAGTAAGGTAATGACTCCGTGGAGCATTAATGTAAAATGTATTCAACCTGCTTCACAGGGCGGCGATTAGAGAAATAAGCCAAGATTGCTGTGTTGCACCAAAGTGCTAAGAGGCTACTGAACAATATCAGCCTGTTCGTTCTGCAGAGACTCTTGAGAAAGCAGCTTTTACAGCTTTTCTGCTCTGAAAAATGCTTTTAAAAGACTTTTTCTTGACATTTCTGAACTCTCAAACCTTTGCCGTGTTTTTCAAACTTTTCAAAAAATATTCCACTCTACATTTACTTTTATTATAACATTAAAGTAAAACTCCCTTTTTTTCTTCCAGGAGAAATGGTAAAATAGGAGCTGAATAACTGATCATTATTTGGGGTCAATACTTATGGTTTTACCAGAGTGTGACCAAAATAACAGGGATGAAGCAGGAAGTTTAACTTCTTAAATGTAAAGCAAATGTTTGACAGAGTGAAACGTTGACTTGCATCCAGGAGGACCTGCTGGAATGATGAACTTAGTTGAAAATGTTAATATCCATTTGCAACATAAAGATGTAGATTTATTTGTTATGTTTTTATGACTGGCAGCACAATTACTGCTACAATCCCTGTAAAATAAATTATAATGTATTTTTGGTAAAATCCTGGTTTCCAGGAAATTCCTACAAATCCAGAATTTTCTGGTTCCGACTGAACCAGGGTTTATTTCTCTTGGGGCAAATGCCGGTTAAATTAATTTGTCTTAGAACAATACAAAGCAGGCAACGATGTTGGACATGAAGAAGCTGTCCTGCAGCTTTTAGATGGTTCAACACACCTTGATCAAAAGGTTAAATGGTCTCCAGGTTTACATAAAAACCTGGAGACCATTTACAGGAAGTGACTTACCTTCATCACACCTTTTTGAAACAGGTGTGATGAAGCAGAGAAACAACTAAAAGATGTGAGAAACAAACCGTGCAGGACTGGAGTTTGACTCCTTTTATCTAGAAAGGTCATTTTCTTTACTATTATATGTTCTTTTGCATTTTCTGTGATGGCCTTTATTTGCTAGATGAATTGTCTGTGTTGTAGCAGGATTGATGTGAAGTGAATGCAGTTCTCCTCACCTCCACCCTTTAGAAACTTTTAATCAGCTCAGCTCTAATAAAGTATTCTGAGTTATAGATTTTGTTGCCACCGGCTCTTGGCATCATCAGATGTTTGTTCAGGAAAATCATTTCATCCCATCCAGATTTTATTTCTCTTTTTGCATGAATAAAATAAGGCCATGAAAGAAATTTTAACATCAAACAAAGATAGCCTGAGTAAATATTGAAATAATTTTTGAAATGCAAACCAACCCAGCTCTACGTGAAAAGTCATTTTTCCCTAAACCTGTCTGTCACTTTTTGCCTGCTTTAGTTTGCAGAATAGTTTTAATTCAGTCATATTTGAAGGTTTTTAGATACGGCTTCTTTAAATACATCATTTTACAGCATTTCAAACAGACTAAGACCAGACTTTGACTAGGCCAATCTGTGTTATTCAAGTAATTTAGTTATTGTTGAGCTTAAAGTCACAAATTGATGACAGAAGGTTTTTCTTTAACTTTTTCTGTCCTTTTTCATGCAAATGTAAATATACGTTTCTGCTGCACAGAGCATTTTTAAATTGAACCAACTGATGCTCCAGTTGTTACATAAACTGATTAGTACGTCTCATGAAGCAGAGTTTGTGTTTTCTGAAGGTCTCGTTGGAGCCATACTGATGCTAAAGAAGTCTTTATTTGCTGTTAATTGTCTGCGTCTTTCTGTTTTGCAGGCAGTCCAAGATGAAAGCAGTCGTAGCGGCGGTACTTAGCGCCGTGTTCTGCACCGGTAAGCACAAACAGAATCAGGAGCCCAGTTCAGATAAATGAACGTTTGAAACCAACTTCCTTCAAAACCAAACTTAATGATTTACATTAGAAAAAAACTCACAGCTCATTTATGTTGCAATCTGTTTCATTTCCTCTTGTTTGCCTTGTTTCGTTATGAAACATTGTAATCAGCCTATTTTTAGACAACATTTACATTTCAAATGTTTTCATGTTTAATGTGGAAGTTGTTTGGTTTTCAGAACAAAGGAGTTGATTTTCTGTTTTCTGTCTTTCTCTTCCAGTTGTGTCAGCATCTTCCAGAGGTAACAATACTCGTTTGGATGATAATGTTTGAATAAAATAAACTTTTTGAAAGCTAACCGCTTCCTGTTTGCATCAGTCAAAGAGGAAAGGAGGACGGCCTTCTTCGGCGAGGACGTCCACATCGAAGTGCCGTCGTGGAGCGACCCGGAGGTCGTGTTCCGACCCAGAACCAACAGCTCCTACGAGGTTCCTCTGCTCCAGGCGGGCCGGGTGACGAACCCGAACAAGACCGAGCTCAACGCTCTGGGCCACCTGGTGCTGAAGGACGTGCAGGAGGAAGACAAGGGGCTGTACATCATCAGAAGCAGCAGAAATGTCAGCATTTCCAAAAACCTGGTCCTCAGCGTGAGGGGTAAGGACTGAAACTCTGCTGCTCCTCCAAAAACTGGACATTTTCTGCTAGTGTTTGACTCATTAAATACTAAATTATGAACCTATTCTTTGTGAAAAACCACCAGATTCAGTTGCTTCCAGGAATCAGCTCATGTCTGTGAAAAATGAAACTATTATTCAAGTTAATGATGTCGAAACTCTGCTGGAAGCTAATTTATCGCCTTCGATCCTCCTGTGAACTCAACAACATCCTGAAAATCCATTAAATGATTACAAAAAGAAAAGTTATGAATGGCTTAATTACCAACTGCATCAAGTAATTATCTAAAAAATAATCAACAGCTTTTTGTGTCTTTAAAGGAATGTAATCAAAACTGATTATGTGGCAAGGATTATTATTTAATCCCTGGAGATTTCTGGAAACATTTATTCCGTTATGAGTCGTTAGTCCAGCTGACTGTCAGCATAATATGAGTGATTTTCAGCTTTTCTCCACGTTTCTCTTTATCTTTAATCTTGTGTTGTCGGTCAGACTGCGTTTTGGAGCAGGTTGTAAAGTATGGAGAGACGTACATCATCCACCTGAACCAAATCGAAGGTCCGATCACGCTGGAGTTCAGGTACGCCAAGCAGAACTCATCTCTAACAAACATGGAGTCAAGTTGGGCCATTTTTACACATTTTCATCTAAACTGGAGGACTGCAGATCAAACCCTCTGAGTTTTGGACGCATCCGGCTCCAGCACACCTGGATCACAAGAACCTGGTTAGGAGCGGGCAATAAGAACTTTAAGTTTTATCACCATAGTTTTTGGTGCTATTGTGATAAAAGTGACAATCAGAAATATTAATTTCTAATTTGTTAGGTAACTGTAAGGCGGTGGCTGCATGATACGACAGTCAAATTCAAATTCTGCTCTTGAGAAACATGTTTATGTTTAATGAGCTTCTTTAAAACACCAGTCACATAAATAAGTGTAACTACACTTCACACAATAATTGCATTCAATCCTATTTTCAAATATATTGATAATTATTGATTCAACTTTACTGAACAAACAGTGGAGAAAATAGTAAAACGAAAAATAACAACATGGACATTTTTGGGGAGTTTTAGATATTATAAGTTTGAATTTATTGCATCAATAATACATCAAAATTGTGACAGTGATAAGAATGATAAATGACATAATAAATGGCCGCTCCTGGACCTGGTCATTAATGCATCATGAATATAACAGAACGGATCCACTTGAGGACTGGAGTTGCAATGCAGACCTCTGATCGAAGCCATTCAAATCTGGGTCACACAAATGTACAAATGTTTGCATTTTAAACTTCTTTGTTTTGGTTGAACATCCTCCTCTCTGTGGTTTGTGGTTTTTAGGCCCAGCCTGGTCAGAGTCAACCAGACGGTGGTCCCTCACACCTCGGAGCCGCCGTCGGTGATCCTCTACAACCAGAGCGCCGTGTTGGGGGACGACTACGCCGGGCGCCTCAGCGTGTCGGACAGGCAGGTGGTGCTGCACTCGGTCAGGATGACGGATGAAGGAAGCTTCACGGTTCTGGACCGGGACGGTCACACCAAGACGAGGACCTGCCTGAATGTCAGAGGTCAGGAAATCTGACACAGCCGAAGCTTTCAACGATAAAATCTGATCCTTCCTGTCCAAAAATGTCTGATATTTAAATGTTGACTTTTAAGAATCAAAGCCATGCTGCTTTGCAGATAACTTACTTTGAAAAGCAAATCATCAAATCAGGACATTTCTGCATATTTATAGGCTCCAAGTCACTGATTATCATCTTCCTGCTCATAAACTCATAATAATTAGAAGTATAGAGAAACTAATTTATCTGTAGGTATTAAAAACTATGCATCAGAAGAAAGTCATGAACGTGGAGAGAGAGAGAAAACAGCTGAGAGGACTGAGCTGGTGTTCCCAATGCTGACTGGTTACAGAATAACAGCAGGTTCAGAGGTTGAAAGGTCAACACAAACACAGCGCGTCTGTATGTAGGAAGAAAAGAGTTGAAGAATGACAGATTGTTAACTCGTATAGGAAATGTTTCCTGAAGGCAGAAAGAGGTAATTTATCCCACTGGATGCTGAGATGGTCAATCAATATCTGCACTGGAGCAACAGAAACAAGCAGAGACTTTATGTTTCCTTTTCTTCTAACTGGTGGTAAGAGTTCTCCTTTTTCCACCAGTTTTCAGCTTAAAACTAATGATGATGCCAAATGAGAAAATTACTAAATGTATACAAGTTTGAGGCATCTGATTTTATTTCTTTTTTGTCCTACGTGGCTAAACAACTAAACGAATTATGACCATATTATTTATTCATTCTGACTTACTGACCTCTCCATGAGGGAAACATTAAATTAGTGTGAATTGTTTTGCACCTATCATGATGTTTTCTGGTGAGCCCTCATCTCCACTGTGTCTGTAAATCAGATTATTTAAATCTCCATGTTCATATTTTCTCCTTTTCTCCTCCAGATCACCAGAGTTTCCTGCATTTTGCCTACGGAGAGAACCTGAAGATGAAACTCTTCCTGCACTTCTCCAACCTCAACGTGGTCTACAGGTCCAAACTGGACCACCAGGACCGGGTCATCGTGAACCAGGGGGTTCTGGTGGCGCCGCTGGACCCGCAGCTGGAGGGCCGGCTCACTGTGGACGGGTCGGAGCTCGTCATGAAGAAGATGCACCCGGCCGACACGGGGCTCTTCAAGGTCACCGACCTGGCTGGCTTTACTGTGGCTCACATTTACATAACCGTGGAAGGTAATAAAATCTCTTTAATGTTACATTTATTTAAATGTACAGATGATCTGAAAGATTTTATGTTCATGAACCTGACTGACTGCACTGAAAAAAACACAAACTACTACAAAGTCTTTTGGTCTGGTTTCTAATGCAAATATCTTAGCACACATGGAATAAGACAAAACTAATTTAGAAGGAACTTTAGCACAACATAGGAGCTTGTTTTATGTCAATAATTCCTTAATATTGATGAATAAGTAGTTACAAGTGAAGATATTTTCCCGTGTCTTGTTCCACTTGCAGATCCTACATCATGCTGAAAAGTGACTAAATTGTCTTATTTCAAGATATTTTTTACTAGAAACCAAACCAAAATATCTGTGTTTCTTCTGTGTTCAGATAAAACAATCAAAATGCTCTTTAATTCACGTTTTTGGTTTTACAATGAGGTTTTATTGAAAAGTGACACCTTTCACTTTATTTACATTTAATTTTTGCATTGTAATTATGGTTCAGAAACTATAGATGAGGATGAGCCATTAAAGTTTGTATGCTTCCAAAATTTCACTCAGAAACAGAGAAAAGTATAAATAAGTACTAAATTAAAATCCTGAGAAAATTAAAAGTTTTGTGAATCAGGATGATATTTCAGTGACATCCTGCATCTCTCCATAGCTTGACCCTCCTGACCTCTGGGTCCTGTTGTGGACTCCCTGGGTAGACGTTAGGTCGTCATGGAGACAGGAAGGTCTCCTGATTATACATGTCAGCTGTGACCCAGTCGCTGCAGGTCGGTTTGAGCGTCTGTGGACAGACTTTTGTCTCAACCGTTTGAGGAGCTGCTGTTTGTTTCCAGGCTCTATGGAAGCCCAGGCGTTCCATAAGGCGTTCTGCCGACTCTGTAATCCATCTGATTTTAGATGATAATCACAGCGGTGGGGTCATGTGACTTTTCAACACGTGCAGATTTATTACGTTTCCACCCTCCGTCTGGGTGTTTTCTTTCTTTTTGTCGGTAACTGGAACCCCGGTGAGTCACAGCGTCCTTCGTTTTTAGTTCCTCTGCCTTCAAGGACAACTCAGCCATAAATATGACAGATTACAATCCGGCTGCAGAGGTTATGCTGTATTGATTAAAAAGGAAAAAAGAACAAAACATTTGTCTCACATCTGCTATGTAACTTCTTGTCATTTCGTCCCTCCTGCCTTCGGGGAACCTTCTGTTTGCTTTTATATATATTTAGCAGAGCCATCTGTAAGCACATCTCCATCTGTGGCTCTGAGATGCTAACCGGCCGCTGCTGCTCCTCGTTAAAGGCCCTCGTAAATGCAAAAATCAATCTCGGAGCAGATGTAACTGAATCTGGGGTCTTACATTAAAATTCATCTCCACATGTGTCCCAGGTGACCTCTGGATCGGATGTCACCTTCCTGCTCTCCATGCAAATAGAATCAAATCTGATTCATGACCTCAGAACCACCTCAGTTCTCCTGAGGTGGTTCTGTTTGGTTTCATGATGTAGAAACCATCATGAAACCAAACGTCTTCTATTTGTTAGAAGACTAACAAATAGAAGACGTTAAAATTTAGCTGCTGCTTAGTGAAGTTAGATCAGTGGTGTCCAACATGTGGGTCGGGGGCCATTTGCAGCTCTTGGAATAATGTTTTGCGGTCCCAATAGTCTTTTGGCTGAATACAACTGAATACATCAAGGGTTTGTGAAGAAAGTCCTCATTGTTGTTGCTCAGAATAATAAGTGAAAAAGATTTTCTCAACCAATGAAGTGCAAAAAATTGGACCCTTTTTGTTTTATGATAATAGGTTTAATTTATTGCTGAACATCTTAAAAGAAAATAATTCACAATTACGTGTTTTTGCATTTTTTATAAAAGTAAAAACAAAATGTTTTACCCCTGAGCAGATCTGGGTAGAGTTCCCACAAATTGTACTCAACTAAGAGTAAAACTACTTCATCATATTTTTACTCAAATAAAAAGTATCCATCCAAGTAATTAAGAGTAAAAATGACGACTCAAGTCATAACTGAGTAACTGATCAAAACATTAATAATTTAAAAATACTACATAATCGGACGCACCAAATATGTGCAGAGATACACCAAATACAGAGACATTATGTGAATATTTAGGGATTTTAAGGACAAAAATGACAATAATTCATATTCATAACTTATTTCCAAAAAAAATTTTTCCAGATAAATTTATTTCAATATAAAACTTTAAGAAAAAGTTGCAAGTGTGTATCTATCTGGTGATTCTTTGGTTAAAACAAGGTTATTATGAACTTAGTCACTGAGGTAGAAACTTTTCTCGAGTAGAGATACTTCACAATAAAGTTACTCAAATAGGAGTAAAAAGTAAAGCGTAGTAAAAATACTCCTAAAGTAAATGTCTGGACACCTCTACTTTAGACTTTCAGAGATCAAATTCCTCTTGTGTTCATCTCTAATGTGAAGGATCCAGGCCTGTAGATGCAGAAGACTGATTGTTTCCTTCATCTCTCTCGTTTCCAGCCTATAAGATGGCTCCTCTGGCTGTTGCCATCCTGTCCATGCTGGGCCTGATCGCCTTCATGCTGCTGGTGTGCCTGCTCTCCTGCCTCTATAAAATACATAAAAGAAACGAGAAGAACAAGAAGCTGACGCTCATCGCCCAGCAGGCCGGCAAGACAGAAGGGGAAGCTTTCCGACAGGTAATTTTCTGCAGTTATGTCTATTTTTGCAACAGTTAAAGTGAGGAATGTTGGAGACAGAGAGCGGGTTCTGGTTCAGCTGGTTATCCAGACGGAGTGAGGTGCGTGATGGTTTGAGGGGATTAAAGGTAGAGGAAGGCTCTGCTCCTGCTGTGGGAGTCAAGATGGCCGGCTTCGTCTCCTGCAGAGCCGGTCCTGATGAGAGCCAAATTCAGCAGAACATAACGACTGAAGAGGAGCCAGGGAAGAGTTATCCTGCCTCCAGCCTCCTCGGCTCCTGCTGAACTCGACTGCAGAGGGGGAGAACGGCCTTGAAATCCCGCCCAGGCAGGTTCAGCGCTGGGAGATTGTTTTCCAGGCTGCAGTCTGAACACGGCTTACAGCCATCTGCCAAAGAGACATCCTGGTGGCTACACTCCCTCAATGTCTCTTCATAACGGAGAGATGGTGAAGATGGGAGTAAAGTGTGAGCAGTGAAGCCATTGTTGGGTTTTAGAGTGTGGACTGATGCAGACAAACAACAAACTGTTTGGACCTGAGTGGAGAGCAGGCCGGCGTTCTGTCGGTTTGAAAACTGGATGCTGTTATGATTATGTTTGGATTTTGATCACTTCTGAATTCTTTATTACTATCTAAAATGTTCTTTAATGAAAGATGCCATATAAGTTACTTTCTTTATGTTTTTTCCTGGCTAAACTAGCCTCACTGTGAGATTCTGTGCTTCCCTAAACTAAAGCGACTCTGTCTGCTCCAAGCTGTAGATATGATGCAGGTATGATACTGACTATTCATAAGTACCTCCCACAACCACACTTTAAAGAAATCAATCTATATTTTTAAGAGCCAGAAGGCAAGTGAAACCTCATATTTAATACTGAGTTATTGAGTTCTTATTATGAACTGCGTATATTTTTTTTCTTTATCCAGTTTCTGAGAAAATCAGCACATTTCTGCTCCGAGCTTCATGATTAGCTGACAAATTAACATGAATTTATTCATTTTTGACAAGAGTTCAACACCCACCAGGAAACATTTGATTTTTAGTTTGCTCAATTGTTCATGACTGATTGTAATTTTGTGCTGCTAATCAGCCTTCAGAGCAGGTGTTTATTCTTTAAATGACAACCTACGTACCACAAAAGAGGCTTTTTAAGGCCATTACCATGTTTTATGCTTCTTTAAATGTTAATCTTGAATAAAAACGAGTTATTATCTTTTCCTTTGTTGTCCTGCTTTATGCAGGCTGATTAACTGATTTGGTAATTTGAAGTTGATGCTGATTATTCACCGAAATAACATCTGAAATTCAAATAAATGGCTCACCTGTTAAAGAGCACCTAAACATCAGGAGCATAAATTAATCATTATTCTGAACAACGGCGGTATTATTCAAACACTATAGGCTTAATAAAAAACAGTGCAGCTGTTGAATAAAAATGAATAAATATTCAATATCTATAGAGATTAATCTTAAGAGTAAATCCATTTAAAATCTCAACACCAAAACTCAGCATTTTGACATAATTACCAATTAGTGGGAACTATTCTCCAAAGCTTTTTGTTTAATTTTGAGTGCCGTTTGAAGTTGATGTTCCCCTCATTCCTCAAGCAGTCTTCACAGCAAATGTTGCTTGAAAGTAATTGAATCTTCAGAGCAATTAAAAAGCCACTGCAGGCAGAAGAGTCTCATCGTAAACAACAGCAGCCGCAGAGACTGATTGCTTCGCAGGGGCGATTAGGTTATGCCAAGTGTTTGCAATAATGATATGCCACATTACAAGCTGAGATTATTTATGTCACACTTCAGGTCACAATTGTTCTGGGATCCAAGTTAATAACTGCTTCAGACTTTACGAACGAGAACCATGGCAGACATCTAACCACCAAAACCCAACAGAATTAAGCAGATTTAGTGACATCAGTGAAGGTGATTTGTTTCTGTTCCTGTTGTCACTTCCTCACAACTTTAGCTCCCTGTATTTGTTTTTTGATAGGAACAGCTGTGTGTGCTAATACAGTCTCATTTTATTTCTTATTGCAGCTGTTTTAACACAGTTTAAGTTACTTCATGCCCAACATATATTTCCGTTTTTATCCTATTTAAAAATAATGTTTTTACTAGCTATATGACATATTTCATTGTTTGCCTTTAACTTTGTTGTGTTGTTTTTTACTTTGCCGTCCTAATTTCTTATGCATAATATTTTAAATATGTAGAAAAGAAAATTACATGTTGGATTAAACTGTTTTATGGTTTGTTTAATGCATTTTGATTCCAAAAAGATGAATTTTTTTAAAGTTAATGTTGGTGCTAACACGTAGCTTACTGTGCACCAACTGGCTTGAAAGCTAAGATGGAGAACAATGCCACACACTTTTTTATAGTAGTGTGTGTGGGAAAACAAGGAGATTTTCTTATTGATGTCAGTAATCAGGCTAATTACTATTAGCAAAACAAGCTAATAGCTAAAGTTTTTAATATTTTCTGATTCAGACGTTATATTTACTGACCTCTATTAATATAATGACTAATGAGTTAGTTAGTGAGGTTCTAGTTACCAAAGTAGAAATAAACTGTTATAAACTGTATTTTATGTGCTTGAAAAGAACAAGAAGCTTGGCTGACATGTTTACACTGAAGTTCTAGTTAGACGAACCTCTGACTTTCTAAAACTTTTTTTTACTTGGAACTCTGAAATTACAGCTTCTTAGAATAAGAATCAGCTTTACATTAAAAATCTCTACATATGAATAAGAAATTTGACTTTAATGTCACTTTATTTTCAATGTAAAGACATGGAAAATAGAACTGGCCACTAACATACATAATCCATGCCAAATTTAGTTTTTTACATTAAACGTCCTTATACGATAAATCAAGGTTTTCTTTCTTTCCAGGTTGTCAAATATTTATCTGCAGCTTTAGCTTCAAAGTTCTCGGCTCTCAAACAAGATCTTAACTCTTCTTAAAGTAACTTTGTTGAAAGTTGTAGTTTTGCTTAAACTTTCACTTCTTTTCTGTGATTTGGCATTTTAAGCTGTTCTACTAAGAAGTAATTTAAGTTCTTCAGCTAACTGACGTTTCACCTTCAGCCATCTTTTCTGCTTCTTCAGCAGATTTTGTCGAGTTCATTCAGCTCAGAAAATGTAATTTCTCTGGTGTCACAGTTGTTTACGTCCCGTTTCCAAAGTTTCCCCTGCACTTTGTGCGTTCAGCTGTCAAATCTTGCATTTTTTGTGTGCAAATATTTTAAACTCAGCAGTGACTCATGTGATTTTCTTCCAGGCATCATAGTTTATGAAAGTAGTAATTTGAAAACTTACCTTTAGTTTACTCCCCACATGCTCTCTCTGCTTGTGTAACTTGTGTGTCTTCAGTGAATGTTTAAAGTTTATTAATCTGACACGATGAATTTGCTGATATTATCTTTAGAAAAGAGGCTTTCTTGCACTCGGATGGATGTTTCTGATTTCCAGGCTAATGTTGTTGCATATTCATTACCTTCCTGCTCTGACATTAAGGAGCTTCAAACGGTGCCTCTTCTTGGTGAGAGATTTGTGTTGTGGCCTCCTCTGGTTTCCTCTCCTCCTCCTTCGTTTTGATATTCAGAGTCGTGCTGCTTTTGTGCCAAACAAGTTCCTTAAACCAACTTTTTTTCTATGACAAACTTTCTGGTGGCTGTCCCAGAAATGTGAGTGTTCAGTATCTTTGAGCCTGTTTGCGATAAAATAAAGCCATTAAAGATATTGAGCACTTAATGATTCCTGCAGAGCCTAGAGAAACTGCAGCCATCAGTCGTAACGATGGAGCAGATGTTGATTGAAGACCTAATTTGACAAAAAGTCAATGAATTACGTGAAGCAGATCTGGCACTGAGTCTTGAAACAAAGCGTCTCTGTTATCCTGATGGACTCGTCAGGATTCATGCGGCCATCAGCGGCATCAGCAGCTGCACACGTAACCAGCAGTGAGGGGCAGAAAACAAAGTTAGAAATCAATATGAAATAAATTATTTAATGAGGAGTTTATGCATCGCTGTTTTAATGGGTGAAGACATGCGGAGAATTCGATTCGCTTCTTTAGAATAACGTAGCTGCTTCTCTAAAGACCTGTGGTTTAGTGGAGCCGATTAGGAAAAAATATGGCTGAATATTATTAATCTGATGAAAGAATTGTTCTAAACAGAAGAATTTTGTTTTTAGTAGGAATAAAATCGTGAAAAATCAATCATGGTAGTTATTACATCACCTCTCTGGACCATTTTTAGTTGTGAAAAAAGTCTATATTTCTTTTAAACAGAATCCATTGATGTGCTTCATTCGTGGCTTTTCCACTGTGAATGTTCAACTTTAAAAGAAAACATAGAACAATCCCACCTTTGTCTTGATTTTGATGAGAAAGTATTAGAGCCACCAGCAGATTTTTTCATTTATAACACAGACAACATGTCTTCATACAAGTGAAATAATCTGCTAGAGATTTATTAGTCCAATGGATGGCAGGTTTGATGGTTAGAAAAACAAGAACCAGGTCTGACGGCAAGGCGGAAAACTAAACAAGCTATCGATTTGTTCAGATTCAACTTTAGTTTCAACAGGTTTTTTTTATTTTATCAGGGATTTATTTGTCAGTCAGCAGATTAATGAGTTTAATTTAAAATCATTTTGAAGGTTTTAGCTCATGTAGCATTGAGGGGAAATTAGAAAGCAAAACAGGTTTTAAAAAAGAAACACAGAAATGAATGTCGGCATCAGTGCAGCAGAAGGTAAACGTGTTAAAAGGTTTCACCTCTAAATGAAATGAAGACCAGCAGGAAACGGGTCAAATTCAACCCAGAGTCAAGGATCGACGAATTTAATGGGAGTTTCTATATTTTTACTGTTTTGTTTGGAAAAAATGAAGCTTTTCATATTTGAATGCAGTTTCTGACCTGCTATCCGGACCAGAAGGTGCTGGTAATACTCCATAAAGCCTCGTCCAACTTTTCTAAGCAAATTTATCTCTTTTCCAACCATTAAAGTCAAATATATTTATACATCCACAGACTGTGAAAATATCAGGAAGTATAGTTTAAACTGTTAAATTATTTTTCACACCCGTCTCTTATTAAGCATCAGAAGAATATTTAACTTTTTCTTTCCCTCACTGCTCAATCAAAAGCCAACAATCTGCAGTTTTTCAGAAACAGTTACAGTAACCAATAAGCTCCAATAATCATCTGGTTTTGCACACATTTCTATCCGCAGTGTGTTGTAAAAAGATAAATCATGATGTAAATGTGTGAGTATAAGCTCTGATTTAAGCTTGTTGTTGTTTTAACAGGGGAAACTGTTTGTGCTGTTTGTTCTTTGGTGTGTTTGTCTGTTAATATTGTATTAAATGTTAAGAAGTATAAAAGTAAAATCTGCAGCTTTAAAGGTTTTATAAAAACTTCCTCGTTGTTAGTGAATAGCATGTCAGGATTTTTTAACTTGTTTTAAACCAACTTTTGTGCATTTGACCTCAACTTGGGTTTCTGTTGTTGGAGAAACTCAGTTTCTGGCTTATTGTTTAAAATCTGATGCAACAAAACACTGAGCAAGAGAATAAATTCACACAAAAGCAGAATTATTCTCACTGCTAATTTTGAAATCATTGTTGAGGCCACAAATCTTTAAGTTTGGTTGTTTTGAACCAATATGTCACATTTTTTTAACCCTTGTGTGTGTGAGGACTGAGGCAAATGATACAAGTTTTACGTGTCGGTTGGACCCCATTTGGAAACACAAGGGTTAAAGTCTGTCCTTGTTTTTACCTCCAAATTCAACCAAAAACATTTTACAGCTTTGAAGCTTCAAATCTGTATTAATTTAGATTATTTTAGCTTCATTCATGTCCTAAAGCAGGCGTGTCCAACTGTGTTCAACTCTTAAATGCATCAGTTCTCCAACACACCTGAATAAAACGGCTCCATTCCCTCATCGGCAGTCTGGAGACGGGCAGTAAAGTGACATGAAAACCAAAAACTAATCAGATGGAGCAGCTGTGGCCAGAAGAACAGCTGAGGGAGGAGAATAATTAAAGCAGAAGCTGAGATCAGACTGGGAGGAAGTGGAACCAGAAGAGACAAAGACAAACAGGATCTATGAAGCTGAACATGAAGGAATGAACTGATGTAACTGGAAAAGAGGGAAAACGATCAGATTGATTAACATTATGATCACAACACAAACTAAAACCAAAACCCAAACATCATGGATGTGACAAATGTTTCCTGATTGGTTCAGGTTTTAAACGTTAAAGCTGCAGGTTTTTCAGTTTTTATTGTCTTTGTGCAGTCGGTGTGTTTGTTTGTGAATTCTTGTGATCTGTGTGTGTGTTCAGTGTGTGTGTGTGTTCTGTGTGTGTGTTCAGTGTGTGTGTGTGATCTGTGTGTGTGTTCAGTGTGTGTGTGTTCAGTGTGTGTGTTCAGTGTGTGTGTGTGATCTGTGTGTGTGTTCAGTGTGTGTGTGTGTTCAGTGTGTGTGTGTGTGTTCAGTGTGTGTGTGTTCAATGTGTGTGTGTTCAGTGTGATCTGTGTGTGTGTTCAGTGTGATCTGTGTGTGTTCAGTGTGATCTGTGTGTGTTCAGTGTGTGTGTGTGTACAGTGTGTGTGTGTTCAGTGTGTTCAGTGTGGTCTGTATGATCCTCATGTTTCCTGACAGTTTTGATGACTAGCCTCTGATCTGAAGCTCATTTTCTCGCTGCAGCTTCGATCCTCACGCTGTGTGAATGTGTGTTTTCTGCAGGTGGTCCATGAGGCTTACAGCAGGTTCACTGAAGAGTCTCTGATGACGTCGGTGTGTGATAAACCCTCAGAGACCACCGAGGTCACCATCAAGGTAAAACCTGTGGTAGAAGCTGATAAAAACTCTTTAAACTGACAATAAATGCTGACAAACATGATCTGAGGTTTCATATTTTACTCTTTTATGTGTTCTACTTCCTACATCGATTAGGTTTTGTTCTTGGATCATTTCTGACATTTTCTTCTGTAAAACTTTATTTTCTTCTCTGTTCTCCTCCCAGTTCTTTTTTCCTGCAGACGTCTCTGTAGACGTTTTTATTTAGTGTATTTTCTGTTGTTGTTCCATCATAGTTCCTTTTGGATGATGTTTTTATAGTGTTTGAGTTTCCTGAAGTATTCCTGGTTTTGTGTCTGACGTCTATGTAATTGTTTAATAAGAACCTTTTTCCTAATTGGTTTCCTCTGATGAGTGTTGCAGACTAATTCCTCATCTCCACTGCAACATGATAATAATCCGTTTTAATCTTTCTAACTGACGTAAAACGAGAAAACTTTGATTCAATTTCAGACAGTGAGAAAAAAAGGTGTATGTTTTTTTTTATTTGGTTCTTTTTTAAGTTGGACATCAAAACAAAAATGTTTTGAACTTAAAATGTGTGAAAGTTTCAGTTTTAACAAACCATTTTGAACAACTTGACCAAGTTTAATCAGCAATAAAACATTCAGCTGTGTTTTTATGGGACTGTTGGTCCTTCAGGTTTATTACGCCGAATTTATGAGTAATTATATTTGGATCTGTAAACACAATAAACAAAAATGGATCCTGAATTGCATTTTTTTTTTAACGTAAGACATTAAAAATAGGCAGAAAATGTGGCTGTTAGTGTTTCTGTGTTGCAGGATGAGGCGATCTGCTTATAAACTGCTGTTTTGTGCATCATCACATTAATGTGCTGCAGGTTTTGTTTGAGCTGATCTTTAAGTTTAACAACGTGAGAACAATCCTGAACGGTCGGTTAAAAGCAGCTAATGGTCCAAACTGAACATACGTGTAAATCTAACCATCTGTGACATGAAGGCAGTAAAACTGGAGCCGTGTGTGATGATAATGGTTTCACCAAATATTAAAGAAATGAACATTAAAAAACAATCTCTATTCTGTCTTCATAACTTTGTCACGCTGAAGCTGTAGAAAAGGCAAATACTCTGTAAAAACATGGAAAAAGAGAAATGACCTCCGTTTAATTATAACTAGAATAAAAGAGCTCAATTTAAAAAACAAATGACATAAAAGGTTGAGCAAATCTAGCAATAATTAGTATAAATAATATGCCAAAGTAAAAATATTCTCCTTATTAAGATGAATTAATGATTATAATGAGAAACCGGCTGCTGCTGATCTGTTTCCTGAGTTTCTCAGAAATGTTTCCTCCTGAAATATATCAATTAAAATCCACTAATAAATGCAGAACCATCATGAATCATCCCTGGGATTAGTCAGCAGAAACCACCTGCAATAAAATGCCACCAAAGTGCCGAGCGTAATTAAAAAGCAATCAACCTTAGTCGCTGCTCTCAGCAGTGAAGTGGATTAAAGTTTAAAGCAAAGACCTTTTGTCAGGATGAACGAGGAGCAGCGAGCGCCGGCGGTCGAGGTTCAGGGAGCGTCTCCACTCGGATGATTGGAGTCACGCCGCTCCGGCTTTGGGGATCAGGTTGAAACTGTCGCTTCTTTTCCAAATTCTGGTTCAGTTATTAATCAGAAATCTGCTTTATGCTGCAAACTATTTACATTTACATGCAGCAGGTCAGACAGGAAACGGGCACAGAATGTTTTCATGCTGATTCAGGATGAGATGCTCATTTTTCTTTGCTAAACTATAAACTGTATGACTCCATTCTCTGACCTTATGACCAGATTTGATAAAAAAAATGTTGCTTGAATTTTGACTTTTGACTTATAAACTTTTTTAAAGTTTGCGATAATCCCTCCAAAACACTTACTTTGTACTTCAGACTCTTGAAACTAATTTGATGCTATAATTGGGATTATTGTCCATTTGGTGAACATATTTCTGCATTAGCATCACATTTCTGGCTAATTTCTTCAGATATCACTGCAGTATTTTAGCATAATATTGTTTCCTTATCATTCTATCCATATTGAGAAATGCACCAGTCCTCTCTGCAGTAAAACACCCACAGCATGATGCTGCCACCCTTGTACTTCACAGTTAGGCTTCCATGTTTCTCCCTCCTTCTCTCCAACGATGCTCATTATCAGAACAGTTTTTAACATATGATTAATGTTCTGTTTTATGTTTCATATTTTGCTCGATGTGCTTAGGTGCTCTGCTTGCAGTAGCATACAAATAAAATGTATTATTATTATTATTATCATTATTATTATGAAAAGTTCTTAAAATTTGATCTCTCAACGCCTTCATGTCTCTCCAGAAGTGAAGGTTTTTGACTTTGAGTCCATTTTCAAACTATCATCTATTTTTATGTTGTTTTTGGAGAAATGGCTTCTTCTTCTTCTCTGCATGTCAGTTCAGGACTTGTTTCACTTTGGGTAAAAACACTGGATATTTACTGATGCTATAAATTAACTTACCAGAAGTCATAAAGCCATGGCAACGTCATCCAGGTTCTGATAAATTGTATAAAAACACTTTGCTCTTCATGTGTCTAAACATCTCAGTTTGAAGGAAATTAATTCTAATAATTTCTTCAACATTATTCTGATATTTCATTAAACATTTTAATCATTTCTGACCTAAACCACATCCTCTTCTCTCTCTCTATTTGTTTTTCCCCTGTAGGGTCTGGAGGTGTCCAAACCAGGCCGGTACCAGACTCTCCCCTCTGACAACTTCCTGGAAATGAGCGACTCTGGAGTCGAGTTCAGCCACTCTGGACTCCCGCTGGACAGCGACACCGAGGCGGTGATGACCTACGCCTCCCACAAGCCCCTCCTGAACGCCGCGTCCCCTCCAGCCGTGACGGACGCCGTCATGATGTCCGACAGCCTGGAAGCCACGGAGGCCCTGGATGGAGGCCTGAGCGCCGTCCGAACCCCGGACTCCATCCTGAGCGCCAGCCCCGCCTCCAACCCGCGCTCGGCCTCGGCCGCCACGCCTGACGGCAGCCTGCAGGGGGCCGCGTCCCCGGCGACGGCCTCCAGGGGCACCGCGGGGTCCGACTCAGCCAAGACAGAGGGCGGGGCGGAGGGAGAAGAAGACGGTCAGAAGGAGTAATCAGGAAGTGTTTCTGGAACCTTTTATCATCCGAACACGGACAGATCCTTCGTCCCAACATCTGAAACATCACAGATAAAACAGGACGGATGTAGATGTGCTGGATGCACAACAGAGTTTAATTCACTCTGGCTACAACCTCACTGTCTATCAACAGAACATCCAGTGCACAAAATGCATGCAGTTCCGGAAAACACAAAAGAAGATATCTTAGATCAGACGTAGACGTTAGAGTAGACTACATGCATGCTTTAGCAAATGAAATGCACTTAAATCATATCAAATCAGCTGAATTCCTGTCAAACCGGTTCAATAATGAGAAAATGACAAACGTTTGAGGGTAGTGACAGACAGGCGGCGTGTTTCAGACAGCCTTTGAGCTGCAGCGCGTTTCCTCTGACGCCACGCTCTCAGAAAATCACAGCGATGAGTGCGTTTCAATCCGCTCTGTTATTAGCAGCACAAGCATGTCAGAAAACATCCCCACATCTCAGATGAAGCTGCTTGTTTCACCGGGATGAGCTACTCGAGGTGTTATGTCTCCAAAACAACAACAACAAAAACATCCTGCAAGATGAAACCGGTTCAAGTAGACGCAGCAGCAACACCTCTCTGAAACTGCTGCTGCTTGTTTCAAATATTAGGTGTCAGATCTGCAACATTTGAAGGATTTGTCAGAGGAAACCTGTCAAAACGTTCCACTTTATCTCACTCAGCAGTCAAAAGTCTCTGTTTTTGTTTGCTGCTTCTAGTTATTGTTCACTTGGTTCCAGGAAGGGAAAAAATTCAGGGGGAAACTGACTGAGTGGCATTTGTGTGACTTTCAGAGCAGCTCTTGAGAGCATAATTGGATTCCAGGTTTCTTTGCAGACAGACCAATTCGTGGACGCCATGGAGCGCGGACCGGTGATAAAAGAGCTGAAAGAGATGGGAAAAGGGTACGATTCAGGGAACAGATGAATGACATCCATGATTCAAAGCCTATTTTCATCTCAGCCCAGAATCCACCTCACAGAGCTCTCATTATTGGAGCCCAGTTGTTTGGCAGAATGGAGTAACTGGAAAGATAAAGTTGGATCAGGGCGTGATAACGACGCAGCCTTTCGCTTCAGCAACATGAGCGGCTGGCTGTCAGAGAGGGTTGTGTGTGCAGGAGAGAGGCGGCGGAGTTTCATTCAGTTCAGCCCAGATCATCAAACACTGGAGAGAGACAAGAGTCTGAGTGGCAAACCTTCAGTTGACGGTAAAGTTATTAATGAATAACAATGATAAACATCAATCCTGGTTCTGCTCCAGGATGTAACTGATGTAAAACACAATAGAAAACTTTCCTTAAAAGTAAACAGCAGTAAACTTTAGAATTTATATAGAATTTACAGTAGATGCTGATTTATATATGCTTCACAAGAAAACCTGTTCAGTGAAAAATATTTTTAATAAAATGTTCCAACTTGTGGTAGAAAAATGAGTTAAAACAAAGATTTGTCAAATGTGCTAAAAAAAACACCTTTTCACCTCGGACGTCTCTGTTAAAGCTAATTTAGAAGGACAATTAGGCTAAAAAAGTACAAATTTCAATAATTTTCTTAACAAGTAAAGACGAGGACATGTGGAGCTGAAATAGTCATAGAAGGACATATGGAATAAAGTTAGCTTTAAGTCTAAAATTTAACTCCAAATGTTTGTTTCTGTCCAACTTTGATCACAAAATCCAAAATGGCTGCCAGCAACACAAAACCTTATACTCCAATAACTCAGTGGACTCCTTTCTGTTCGGGGTTCTTTATGGATTCACCTTTTGTGAGGATTTTGCTCCAATTTATTTACAGAAAATTTGCCCATTTACAGATATTTTTGTAGCGCATGTTTAAAATATTTGGAAAAAAAAGTGCAGCTTGGGAAGCTGAAATATGAAATGCTGTTTACTCTGCTGGTTGGCATTTCCAAAGCAGCCAATCCGGGAGCGCCATTCAGTTTCCTTGGTGTTGATTGGTTGAACTCCTAAGAGTGGAGATTATGAAGAATGTAAACATTTCTGTGGTAGTAGAACCAAGATCATTTTAAATATTAATGCATCCTAAAGTATGTTTGGTGTTTGAATTATTAAAATAGGAACTTTTAAATGTTTTTAGAGAGTCTTATGTATTTGTGGATTTCGACTATTTGATGGTGGTTGTGGTCAGTTGGCTCTTGTCCGTAAAAAAAAAAAACGGTTTATAAGATTTAAATACAAAAACATACATTTACATTTGCATGCATTGCTAGTAGTACTTAGTAATATCACTGAGCTCAACTGTTATCATTTGTAATTGGAGCCTGACTGAGTTTGGTGTGATGCCGTTCCCAGATCTAATGGTTTGTTTTAATGGCACCTTCTGCTTTAAAATCTGATTTCCAGATTAAATAGTTAAAGATCCATGACTGTTTCAATAAGGCTGCCATGCAAGTAAAGCTCAGTCATAACTAAACTAATCAATAGCTTCCTGGCCATTTTGGCGTTTTGTAAATCATTATCAAGTAGCACACAGTGTACAGCTGTTGTGTAGCTGGATGTGACGTCACTCCCAGATTTTCTGGTACGTTTCAGGTTTGACTGAAAGCCAGAACTTCTGCCTTCCAAGTTAGATCAAATTCAATATGGCTGCCGTATAAAGAGCAGTGTTAGCTGTAGCATTAAGCGGTTAAGCATTTCTGACAGTTTGTATCTGAATGAATTGGTGCATCTTTCTTAGTTTGGTGTTCAAACATGAAAAGATGCAAAGATTTGGGTTGTTTTGGTTTGTATTGCTCATAGTGATGCTCCTCTCACTGACCACAACAATTAGCAATTCCCTCTGGTTCTTTACTTGTAACTAGGACATTATAAGCTTGGAAGAAATGGAGTCGGACCCAAATCAACATCTGAGGAAAATGGAAAGCAGCCCAAGCTCTCACAGGCCTAACAACTGTGTTTGACTAATTAGTTTCCCTTTCTTGCTGTAGAAAAAGCTAATTCAGGTCACAGAAAACTAATTTCCACCTCTGAATGTGAGCAGGGCATGAAACTCGCCGCTGTACTTCCTCTCCTCCACACGTCCAGCCTCTGAGCTCCTCTGCTTTTAGGGAAGCTTCATCTCAGCATCCGTCACATCTGCTGACACACACAGGCCGCAACAAGACCTTTGGGTCCCAACAGTTTCATTTATTCAGCAGCGTTGCTGTTACCATTGACATCTGTTAGCAGTATGGCTACCTCAAGCTGTCACTGACCTGATGTCAGCCTGGACAGGCTGCAGGATTCACCCAAAGCAGCAAAACAGGCACCAAAGTCTTAATATCAGAAGAGAAAAGCACAAATTCAGCATTTGATTCTTTTTAGATATGAATAAGTTTCACATTTTTACTGATGAGGGTAAAAAACATGAAGCAGCTATTGTAAATATAGTTCAGTGATCTGCAAAAAATGACTAGTTCCCTTCTTCTTCTTCAGGAAAATTCATTTGAATCGTTCAGCATTGTATGTAAAACGACTTGCATATTCAACTCAGATGGGAAAATGATCCATTTGATGGGAGTTTTATGAGGAAATGCTTAAAACTCACAGGAGGGCGACTGAAAGCTCCAGAAATGGACTCTGTAGATCTGTAAATATCAGCTGGATGTAAATGAGCTATGATGCATCAATTTGGTGGACTAATAACAGGATAACCACTGAATATTTAATATAATCTAATGCAATATTAATGATAAAGGCACTGAAGCATCATGAACGCTCTCCTCCTGCAAGAAAACCCAGACGTAGCACATCAGTACACCAGTCTACTGTTAGTCGTCTGTTTTCACTGCTGTAAATATGAAGATCTGTGATCTGCATGTGGATAATCTTAGAATACTCACGTTTCTTACTACGAGGCTTATGCAAGATTTTTTACCGCATTGATCCTTGAATCACAGTAGGTAGGAAACTTTGCCTTCAGCTGGGAAGTCTGTGGTGTTTACATGCTGGAATCTGGTTGAAATCCTTTCATCAAGTCGGCCTCAGCAGGAGGCGATCCGTCTGCGGCTGCAGGCCGTATTGACACATCGCAGGTGCTGATGGTTTGAGCCAGAACCGCTCAGGCTCTGCCTCAAACGCAAAACCTGACAAACAAAACCGGGAAGCTGCAGCACGAATCCAGTGTTTGGGGAAAATAACAATTTACAGCATCTGCATCAGTTGGGGATTTTACCTCAAAATGTAAATTAGATAAAGTAAGATAGATTTATAGGATCGCATCTGTTTTAGAAGATAATATCTTCTTTAACTTGGTTCTGTTATTGTAAGAAAAGAGTTGATCTTGTCATGTTAACACAAAAATTACAACACCCAGGATTATGTTTCCTCATATTTGGAGATGAGTTATGTCTCTAGTCTACACTTCCTTATTTTATTATTATTTTTTTTTACCATCAAATTCTGGACAAATGAATCCAATAAACCACAATTAGTTTCATACCCCCAAAATTTATCATAAAATTATGTCCCACTTTAGAAATGTAGAGTTTGTCACGTGCCAACGTAATTAGTTGCATTTAAATAATTTTTGTAATGCCTTTAACGCCTCACCACACCTCAAACATACAGAATAAAATATTTGTAAGGTTTATGGTCAGCAGTGGAGATGCAGGATTTCATGTCCAGGTTTTAGCTGATCATCTGTGCCAGTCTGCAGGATTCCTCTGAATCCCTCAGGCCCCCTGCAGGTGGCAAACGATTTTTTCAACCACACTGACTGTGCATGAGCATATGGCGGCTTGTGGCTGCTGCAGACTGAAACATGTAGCATGAACCAAAACGGCATTTTCCTAATGTGGATCTGAAAATTGGACATTCATTTTTATTCTTTATTTTTAAAGAGTAAAAATCATTAAAGATAAAAATAAAAATATTTATTTATTTATTTATTTATTTATTTATTTATATTTTTTAATGGTATGACATTGTACCACTAGAGGGAGCTCTCAGAAAGTTATTTACTCTATAAAAGGTTTTAAATTGATGAGTTAAACTTAAGTAATCTGCAAAATCTGTTCTAACATCTGAATGGAATAATTCTGTGCAGAATAAGTCTGCATAGATCAGGCACAACATTATGACCACTGACAGCTGATGTAAATAACACTGGTTACCTTTTCATCATGGCTCCTGCTGGTGGTTTGGATACTTTAGGCTCCAAGTGGAGGCAAAAATGGGCAAGTGTTAGGATTTAAGTTTTGCAAGAACTGAAAAATAACTGTGGTATTATTCAACATTGGTCTAATGAATAATTAGTACTAAACTGGTGGCAGGGTAATAGCTACAGTTACTGGTGCAGAAGGCTGCCCTCAACCACCCGACAGGAAGTTTAAGGAGGTTTAATCTGTGAGATGTGCTGGACGAACAGGTCCGATCCAGGAAGGCCGAGCCTCAGCTTCATGATGCCCAGGCTCTGCTGCTGCGTCCTGGTGATACCTGAGCACATCCAGAGGTTCAGCAGAGACCACGGCTCGATTGGCTGCAGCTGGAGGATCAATGAAGTCATACTGTTATGACTGCTGTTGATTGCTTTAGTCCTGGGAGATTCTCCTTTTCTGTAGGTGATATTTTAACAGTTTGCTTCTTTATGTTGTTACAAAGATAAAGAAAATGAAAAATGCACATTAACAGTATCATGGGAGCCACTAAGCGACATCATAAAGTTTCCATTTTACCTGATTAAGGTCCAATAAAGAGCTGATGGCTTGAAATGGTGCCTTAGTGCAATAAATTGGCCACAACTAGAATCCTGCAGATCTCAGAGCTTGGTGCATTTCTCCACTGTGGGACATAAAACCACCTTTCTAGAAATGGATGTTCATGTTTTTATTGCAGTACTTATAGCTAATTTTACAGAATGCATTCAGACCATTTCTTTATTCATTATTCAGCAAATTCCAGAAAACAACTCTAATAGAGGAGTGAGATAATTCCTTCTTGATTATTTTTGTTTTTTAAGTTATTACCTCCAGATAATAAATGTAAAACTATTAATATCAATTAAAGAACTCGGTTTAATTGATTTTCTAAAACATTAGTCAGTCTAAAACAGGAACAACAGGAATCAGTTGTCAGAAGACAAACAGTTTAAAACATGGAGACATTTTCCTCTCCTTTCTATCCATCTGCCCCAGTGTGACATGCATCTCCTTTAAATGCCCCATGGGTGCAGATACTTAACCCCTCTGCATGAACCGGCAGATGGAGTTAAGTGAAAGATATTTGAAAGCTGTATTTAAAGCAGGTTTGAGGATTTCAGTCTCTTCATCTTCACATTTCAAAGGCCTCTGGATCTGTGTTCACTCCTATCTTTGAAAAATGCTAAATTTCTCCTTTTTGAAGAGAAGATGAAACATTTAATTGTGATCAAAATCCAGATTCTCACTGCGAGGCCACTTTGATGCTTCATGAGGTGAAAGTTTCACCGTTCCTCCTGCAGTAATGACTGTAAGTTCAGGCGATCCCGGCTGATGGAGACTTCATGAAAGGATTTGTGTTTGTGTCATTCACCTCGCTCTCGTGTTTTCTGTTTCATTACACGTCTGAGCTGCGGTTCACAAAGCTCCTCGGAGCAGAAGTGCTGATTCGTGCTCCGGCGGAGGGAGATTTAATAAAATGCTCTTTCAGCCATGATTCCCTCTAATGTTAATCTGTTATTCTCTGAAATTCCAAAGAATAATAATAAAAAAATGGGAATCAATGTCTGCAGCGACTGGCAGTTTGCTAATACCGTTGATCCAAACAGGAAATTACTCTGAGATCAGTTACCTTCTCTCCACTGGAGCTTGAATCAACAGCCTTTTCTGATTCGTGACAGATAATTGGAGAAACTAATTGCCAGGCGCTTATCTTTGTGACAGTGCGCTTATTCTGGCGCAGAGTGTTTTTTAGTAATTACCTTTTCCGAGTAATGAACACATAAAGCGACGCCACGCCTCCATCCCTCGGCTTGAACCTCGTTTCTAACCTCACCTTCATCCTCCCGGCACCACAGAATGTTTTTATACGACAAAAACTAGAATCTGAAATTATTTTGATATAATTTGTGTTTAAAACAATGATGTAATCCCAGTACTTTTTAGGAAAGCACCACACGTTTTAATGGATGGACGTTTCAGTGTTTTTGTAGCAATGCATTAAACTCTAGCTGTGTTTAATATTCCTTCTTACTCAAATATCATAGCCTAACCCTGCTGTCCTGTGTGTTTGTAGAGTTAGCGTAGCTGCAGCATGTTGGCCTGTAGATTGCTTGTGGGACGACGGGCCAGAAAGCAAGTTATGATCACATGAATCACCTTTTTTTCTGTGACTCATCCTGATCTCTGGTTTCCCATCGGCCTCCTGCTGGGACTCAGCAGCAGTAAAACTGGAGGATCTTATTTCTTTTTCTGCATAAAGTAGATATTAAATTACTTTTTTGTTTTTATAACATTTTAGTTTCCCATTCGCTGCTGTTCCAGCTGAAATGATAATTATATGGAATCTGAAAACAGAAGACTTCCTGTCATTTTTGTTTTTCTGCTTTTTAAATTTTGTTTTGTTGTCTTTGTTAAAAATATGCGTATAAATGGATCACATTTAGAACCCGACCCTGCCTTGCTTTTACTGATGATTTTATCTGTTTTTATTGCTCTCAGTTGATGTGCTTTTCTGTTTTTTCTGCTTCTAATGGAGTGGTATTATTCTGTTTTATTATGCAGCCATTTGGGTTAACTCGCCCTGTTTTCATTAAATCAGAACCACATCAGTTTTGACCTTCAGTGGGAAACTAAAAGCATGTGAGAAATCTTTTTCTAAGGAAACCTGAGCAGATATGACTGATAAGAAGCTTTCTTTTTCTAAATTTAAGAATGCAAACTAATGGTTTCTTGCTACTAGTTTGCCTGGGCGGCATCAGGAAGGGATCACAAAATCACCCCATAAAAAACCAGAACTTGTCTATCAGTTGCACCTTGGACAAGCTTTCTGTCGCTTTTATGAATGTACCATCACAAGACGTGGTTAGCTGATTTAAGTTGGCCTGTTTGCTTTTTTCCCCTCCAGAATCTGACATAATTTCACTCATTCTGATTGGCAGACAGGGAGACCTGCAGGCTTCATTCATCCAAGAATTGTCTTAACTTCCATTTAATGCAGCAGGATAGATGGTTTCTCATGAATCACGACAACGTGGAATACATTTTGCTTCAAAGCATTATTGATGTAAACACTCAGACACAATAACATGACCACTAGAAACCTCTATGAAGCTCAAAGCTTCCAAATCTATACAACTTTTTTCTTTAAATTGTGTTTATTTATTATTTATGTGACATGATTAAAGAACTAAGATGACAACAGAGGAGGTGAAATGTTTTGATGAATTATTGAATATAAACATAAAGAGTCTGTTTGAATTTAGCTGTTTTGGACAACAGATTAAAACCTTTAAACTTAAATATTATTAGTATCTTGAATCTTTTAAAATCTGTTAATTCAACTAATAACTGTTAACATAAGAATGTTGCATGCATAGATTTGATTGATTTTGAAGAAGTTGATGTTAAGCAGCTTTACTGTCACTGAACATCCTTTATAACTATCAAGACATTCAATGTTTGGGTTAATGCATATGAAAGTTTGTTGACTTCACTGAAAACATGATGAAAACTTTATTTTATGGCACCGTTTTTGGTCGTGTTGCTTTGTTTTTATATGCAAGTCTTGTTCCATCCTGTTACTTTTATTCTTGATTAAAACAAATGAAAGAGTCAAATCTAAAAGTTTATTTGTCTTTTATCTTTCCACAGACGATCCATGTATTCAATGCAAAGAATAAATCACAAGAAAAATGTCTTGTGAAATAATCTGCCGGTAGAAGGAGGACTTTCTTTATCATCAATATTCAATAATTATTGCCTTAAAACGAACCCCTATGTCTTGCTGAAAAGGTACTTGTAAGTTAGTTTTGTCTTATTTTAAGTATAATAACGTATTTTCATTTCAAACTATCAAAATTCTTGGTAAGATTTAGTTTTTTGCCGGGTGGAACTGGATGTGGCTCCACTGGAGCCATAAAGCCTTAGAGATGAACTTTTAATCATTTCCAGAGTGATGGATGTCGCCTGTTCTTACATTTTATTTAGATTGGTTTCTGATTGGTTTGCTCTGCTTTGGTCTTTCCGTCTACTTCATCTGGTCAGACAGGTTC